GATGTGCCCTTTGCAGTCTGTCCTACGACTGGTTATCAATTATGAATATACTACTGATTGTAAATAATAGATATACAACTGCATTCCTCAGTGTAGCCTCACAATACTTAACAAGAAAAGAGGAAACAACTCAGCTAATTTATTCAGAACACAGTGGAACAAAATATTACCAGAGCAGAACACGTGGACATGTACCGCGACTGCAGCCACAAACACACATATTGCAGCAAAGGATTGCACGGTTTTCTTTACACGTCACGTAGAGCGCACGCGCGACTACTCCGCTATCCAGCGTCGTCGCTGGGAGAACCAGAACCAAGATGTGAGCGGGGCAGACTGCTAGAGTGTGCTGCGTTCAAATTAAAGGTTTTCTAAGGAAACACTACTGCTTTTGTCCACAGGGACCACTAAAATTCAACATAAGGGAAAGTTCCTCATAGTGGCTTTTATATAAACTCAAAAAGTACAAGTACAAAAAACTTTGTTCCAGTAACAAGAGGTACTTCCACCCCTGGCTGACAGACACTAAAAACCTCCGTAGACTTGAGCGTAACTTGCCATCAGCGATCCTCTTCACGTGAGTAATTTCATCCATTGTAAAGATAAAAAATATTGACATAGTGCAGCTTTAAAAATGTGGTGTCTCCCAACATTCAAAGCAGTCCAGAAGCCCAACAATATAATAAATCCTTGAATACTTTATGTCCAAATCCACTACAAGCGTCTACCGATCAAAAATAGTCCCATTTATTTTAATTTAGCCGACAAGTGCAGTGGGTGTTAAAGGGTTAAGCATGCCATTTTTCATTTATATTCAAGGGATTTATTGCTTTTGTTCTGGCGACTCTCCTGTTTGTTATGTTAAGGCCAATGCTGCAATTGAACGTGGTGCTCTGCAGAATGAGACAATTCTCTCCTTGGTTTTATGAAACATTTTCCAATCTCATTAGAATGACCTCGAATGACCTGAACCCTAGAAGCTGCGTGAGATCCATAAAAAAGGCTGTTATTCTTCCAAACATATTCAAGATATTCTACATAACAATGTCAGTAGCCTATACTTGGTACATGACTAAACATACCCATCTTCCAATGACAAAGCAGCTGACCTTCTTGTTAACCTCTTAATACATCGATTGTGTTCATGCCCCGCTGCTCTCGGTGGTCAGCATCAGACTGAGAGAACTGTGTTCAGTGGCTCAATATTTAGCAGCCATCAGAAGTGTCTTTCAAGGTTTGCAATCTGGCACGGCCGTTCACATTTCACCGTGTGACACTTGCCGAGGGGTGATGGGAAGGATGCAGCCACCGTGACGGTGAGGGATGAAGGACACACCTCGGGGCTAGAATATAAGTGACGGTACATCAGTGTCACAGAGACAACCACAGGTTTCACTTACATTTTATTTACTATCTAAAGTTTAATTGCAGCCGTTTTTTACTCTTTACCACCGAATGCGATACACTACATATACTGTGTTACAGTGATTCCCAAGTCTGACGTACGTACGAGAGGCTGGACCTCACAGTGCCAGCAACAAGCAAGTGCTCAGACTCCATTATTTTGACCTTTAACTTCCTGTACACACTGCACCCCCACAGAGATTTGTAATCAAACAGCGCCTCTTATTATCGTTGGACTGGAATTAACACATGGGAGGGTTGATTGCTGTTTCTGCTCTGACTCTAATTTTGCCACACTTTCTCTGCGGGTGCACACCGGTGCTGAATCCTTCAGATGCCCGCTCTGATATATATGTGATATTAATGAAACTGTTCAATATGAATACATTTGACTGCCACACATTCAACACAGCATCAAGGCTGCATTAATCCAAAACAAAAACAAAAAAATGCAACGACGACATCTTACATTACACAGAAATGTATACAAAATAAAAAGACCTTGTAGAGGCCAAGTAGAATTGCATCAATAATTCAGTCCCACATATCTCATATTTGACCCTGGTACGGAAAAACTCATTCCCTGATGCTGAACCGAGTTGGAGGAGAGATGAGAACAGAGACACGAACGGAGGTGGATGGGTAAAGAAAAAAGTACAGCATCAGCATGAGAACCATGAGGTATCGGCCTTCCCTGGCTTGCGTCCTCACTCCGTGCGCTGATTGATGGGATCACAGGCAACCTTCGCTATGACAAGGGAAAGCGATTGGCACGCATTCATTCTCTCTCTGGCGTGTGACTGTGTATTACACGTGTTACTGAATTTGTGTTGCTCTTCTTTTTTTTATGAAAAAATAATTTGAGCCGTTGGCAGTAGCTGTCCTTGACTGTCTCTGAATAGCCCAAACCAGAACTGTAAAGCAGCTCTAAAACACGCTCTCCAGAATCTTGAATATTAAATCTTTAGCCATCGCCTCTTTCTGCATCACAAGTGGATGGATAATCCACTTGCATGTCCCACATGCAATGAGCTATGTTGCATTACAAAGTGCTCGTGCATTTTGGAAAAAGGTAAGGCTTCTTAGTGGGTTGCTCTTGGCGGCAGCAGTGTGTTAAAACCTTGATCTTCCACACACCACTGCTATCATTAGTATTATTGCTGCATAATTTTCTGGCTGTTAAATCAATTATGGAGGCCTCTAATCAACAGCACGCGCCTGCAGGTACACTGGTGGGGATCTTTGAAAAAGAATGTGGAGTGATTAGAGGAGGAGCGCAGCCGTATATGCAAACGAAACAACAGTTTAGCACACACGGCGTGTGTTCAGCTGAAGAGGAGTTGTGGAGAAATAACTGACAGTCACATTGGACATTTTGAGGCTTTTAGCCATTGTGTCCATGACAACCATTGTAAGCGGGGGCTTTGTTGAACGTGTAATGACACAGCCTGTGAATTGTATCACAGCAGGCATAAAAGAAAATCCATTTTCTTTACAGGACAAATGCAATAAGAGCATTTCACAAGCTGCAGAATACATCTTCAGCTTTGTTGCGATGAAGCTCCGGTCAGGTCTTGGTTTTTTCTCTCAATGTTTGGGAAATGTTCTACTTTTGTCCCTGGTATTAGCTGCCTGCCGTGAGGCCGCTGTGGCTGTAGCTGTACACACAATGCCATCTGAAATCCTTTGTTTTCTTTCATAGAAATGTCAGTGAAAGACACCTTTTCTTGTGATCTGTCCATCATGCTAAACTCTGGCAGGCGCTACAGGACGCCTCTGGCTACAGAGAACATAAGTCAGAAGTCATTCATTCCCTAGGAAAGCCCTTGGAGTATTTGTACTGCCATTGTCATGGTTTGTGTGTGTATGTATGTTTTAAGGTTTGAATGAAATGCCAGACGGACAAAGACGAATTTTCCACCTTTGTTGACAAGTATTTAATTGTATTCTTTTCTGGTGTGCCACTATAATTGATATCTTATCATATTCAAAGCATTGGCTCAACATTTTAGGAAATGAGCTTATTCTCCGCCTTTCCGAGTGACGAGTCTGTCAAACAAACAGGACTTTTACTCCACGTGAAACCGACAGTTTAGTGATTTTTTTACTCATACGTCATTGGACGTTACATCCGTAGCTTGCGTTATGTTACACTCGTACTTATTTTAAGCCAAACCATGATGTTTTTTTCTTACATCCAGTTATTTCGCTCTATAGACGATATTGGACCCATTTGTCACAAGCCACATATCCAGAGAAAGAAAATGAGCTTTGTGCGAACGTTGCCAGATCTAGCTAACTATAGCGAGCTAGTTTTCCCAATGCTAAACATGGCTGTTAGCTATATGTAAATATCAATGTGCAATGTCATTCATCTATTCGTCCAGCACTGCACCGCAGAGCGCCTCCAGGTACAGGCTGGCTGCCTGGCAACTCTACTGTGATGTCAAGAGTCCGTAAAGTCACTGCAGGTTGGTTGTTCACCTATGTAGCTATTTTACATAACTCCGCTTAAGTTCACAATTTCTAGTATTTACATTAATGTGTGTGTACAGATGAAACAAAGGAGATACCATATATTAACAAGTCAGTTTGTGAACATATTTCTGACCTCTGAAGGCTCGCTGTTTCCCAAGGTTCAAGTCTCAATGCTAAGCTAGGCTAATCAATCTTCTCATTTAACTCTCTGAAATAAAGGGAATAAGCTTATTTTTGTCAACTGTGTTTTTTATAACTGCTTAAATAACATGTATTAAGCATTTTTTTCTCTGTCTGTGTAAAACCTGCTTCCCAAGAGGAGTTGGATAAACCAGTCAGCCTGCTTAATGTGCAGGTTGAACTATTCCTTTCAATTAGATTCCTCTATGCTCACCGGGATGCTACAGCAAATTATTGCAATACATTCCAGCTGTATTAATATTTATGAAATACTGTAGGTCTGTCAAATTGACAGCAATTGCAAATGGAACATTTGTCCCATTGAAACAGGTTAAAGATGCATCGCTAAAGTAAGCGTTTAACTCCACTTAACATACTGCCATTGCGGTGATGCTGTACAGTGCCTGTGACAGGCAGTATTATAAATGAAATACAATTTTATTTTATGTGGAATATGCCCTTCAGTTGCGCTTCATATTGAAATAACCATTGCCTTTCTTACAGTTGCAAAGCTACAACGATACAAAAAAATACTATTCATTTTAAAAGAATACTGACATGTTTTTTTGAATGAAAATCAATATGGCTCTAGGTCTTGGCATAAAGCACAAATCTGACATTTCAAAACACATTTCCAAAAGCATTCTCCTATTCTAGTCCACGAGTAGCTCTGAGGGCACAACTGATGCCACGGTGCTTGGCAGCAGAGGAAAAGAATTACAGTAAAAGTTTATGAACCATGGACCTCTACACAGTGACTGAAAGCCAAAGTCTCTATAAAAACACATCTTTCACACTCATTTGCTTCATGTCATGGGTTGAGGGGAAAATAAGGAGAAGGAGAAAAGCAATAAGCTTTTGTAGTAAAGTTTGGCCTTAGAATTAGCAGAACAGCTGTGTTAGAGCGACCGGCCGACTTGTAAGAAACAGAGCACCAATTCTTTTAAAATACATTTTAATATGTAGAAACTGAAGACAAAATGTACAGTATTCACACTGGAATAGCAGTTACAGACTGATGTTAATGGAATTAATTCCACCAAAGATTCCATTTCAAACAATAGAAATGTTGATTCCTTTGTTCTAGTGTTGCAACAAATAGGTAGAAATCAATGCTGTGGTAGAAATGTAAAAAAAAAAAAATTAGCTGCATTCAAAATGAACCTCTTTAAACAAATCCACCCACCCCTGCCCACTCACACATATGGGTATTGACTATGTAGTTCCAGTAAGAGGATTGGTTTCGGTCTAATTCGAATGGGATCTGCAATCTGCAACGGGGTCCACAAAACATCTGTACTTCACAGTGAAAATTAGCTTTATTATATTTACACAAATCACTGACTAACACACACAAAACAAGAAAAGTACAAAATATGACTCACTGTTGTCATCCATACTGTTAGTTGCCACTACGTGCTGCACAGTTTCAGCGTCTGTCGTGAGGATTTAGACGAACTGTCATACAAACCATTTCTGATAAAGTTAGCCCCTCATAATTATCTTTAAAGGGTAGATGTGGAGACAGACAGGTATGGTTCAGCTGTTAATTCCCTAATTATCCCTGTTTATCACTCTGACCCATCTTAATGTCATACAATCAATCAGATGAGGATCTCTGAGAGGCTGATTGTAATCCAGGTTTCCCTAAGCAACCACTAACTGACGCTCTCCCCTCTATTGAAGACAACATAATAATCTGATGCTTCAAATTATTGCACCAAGGTGATTTCCTTTACTGTCTTTAATTAAGTCCACCAGCACATTTTTTCAATTAAAACCCTTTAACAGTGGATCTCGTAGGCAACCTGCGATCCGAAGAGGAGACTCTGACTGAGGAAGAGCTCCTCTGGATCTGCTGTTAGGGGTCCCTCAACTCCGTCTGCCGGGTTTCTGCGAAGCCCCAGTCCCCCTGATCTGGTCAGTGTCTGCACCATTTCGTGGTCCAGGAGGGCCTCCTTCATACCCTTCTGCTGGACAAACCCGCTCATCATGGGACACCTGGAGGAAGTGGAGCCCAGGATGGGCTTGGTTCTGTTGAGTACGTACATCTCGTGGCCGTGGTCGTCACGGTACTCCTCCAGCTGCGCAAAGGTGGTGGGTCCGTCAGAGTAGTCGTTTACATAGAGGATGCTCTCTTCCTTGCTGGTGCAGTAGGAGCCACCTTCTTCCTTCCGGTACTGCTGGTGACGAGTGTAGATCATAATCAAGAGGAGGACAGCAGTGAGCGCCAGCAGGGAGATGCCAACAGCAATGGCGGTCTGCGTCGCGGGGCCGAGAGCGTAGAAGTCCATGCTGTCCTGTTCGTAGAGCAGCTCCTGGCTTACATCCAGAACCTCTGGCTGATAGAAGGAGTTGGACGAAGAGGGAGCAAAGGAGTGCATGTTCAAACGAGGCCAGAACTGGGATGAGTATGAAGAAGAAGACATGTTGACGGCCAGGTGAAAGGTAACTCTGGCCACGCCGCCAGGGTTCCAGGCTTCGCACTCGTAGCGGCCAGCATGCGCTACAGTCACGTTGCTGAGGAACAGCATGCCACTGCCCATGTCCGGATCAAAGCTGTCCCTCTCGCCGCCCTCCTCGGTCCCACGCACAAGCCCCTGGATTCCTCCAACGCCCCCAACCTTGATCCCTCCACTGCTTGGCAGGGCCGTCACCACTCCTCCGGCTCCGGGCCTGAAGAGCTCACCATTTGGTCCCAGCTCTTGAACCAGGCCTCGAGACGACAACTGGGCCTTGCCATGGGAGGCTTTCTTCCAGGTCACCTGAGGCTGAGGGTATCCTGACGCCTGGCAGGAGACTCGGAGGCTCTCCCCTAGTCGCACAGTCAGGTGGCTGGGCTCGAGTTGCACCACGGGGGGGATGCAGACCAGGCTGTTGGGAGCCACCTCCACCAGGCTGAGGTGGGAGAGGCGAGGCGGTTCGGAACACATCAGCCGACGCTGTTCGGCAGAGCTCAACAGACGTTGTCCGTCCTCGCTGATCCAAGTTCTCAGCCAGCCCAGGGCACAATCACAGCGCCATGGGTTCTCTGGAGGTGAGGAATGGAAGAAGACAAGGTAAACCAATTATATGGTTTTGTCAACTGCTGTTTTCAATCACAAGAATGAACCTTTGACTTTTAAGCCAAAGTGGCAGAGAATCCCTGAAAGTGCAATGAAATTCCATGAAAACTGAGCAAACTCCATCTGCTGATGAAGATCATCTGATAAGGTTGAAAGCTCCAATAAAGTTGCTAAATGGTCCTTGAGTTGGATTTGTTTTCCAAGGTCAAGTATTAACTTTGAATCCCCACCTTCAAGCCAACACGGATGAGAAGTTCCTGAATTGCTCAGAAGAAATGAAAATGCAAAGATCTACAATTCCCTGACAGCGGAGCAAACTCCTACTGCTAATGAAGACCATGTGATAGGATTGAAAGCTCCAGAACTGCTGCTAAATTGACCTTGAGGCGATATTGTTTGGTAAACTAAATATATTTTGCTTACGATAATTTAAACTTGGTGCTTGTTGCAGGACTAATTGCCTCGGATAGGAGATCTCTTTTGCAGACAGTGTTCCTTCAATATATTCTTTAAAATTGTGTCTTTGAGGGAATTTGTCTCATTACTTGAAACACTTTGATGTGTAAAACATGTTTAAAGGCACTTCATTTCCATTGACGTGAGCATGCAGGTTGTGGCTGTGGCAGTGCATTCACAGTGCATTTTTCAAGGCACATTAAATTACATTAAATTCAATTGTGGAGGATTATTTCATCTTACAGCGAGACCTCGCTCTGCCTACCTGTGACACGGAGCACCTGCAGGCTCACGAGCGGTTTGAGGGACGAGGCTCCCAGGGTGCGGAGGTGATTCTTGCTGAGGTCCAGCAGGGCCAGAGATGACAAGCCCGACAGAGCTTGCTCTGCCAGCAGCTCTATGCTGTTCTCCTGCAGGTGGAGTTCCTGCAGACGCTGCAGATAGCAAAAAGACGTAACGCAGAGGAAAGGAGGAGGAAAAGAAATGTCAAAGACAGGATGAGTCAAATTCCTCCTGACTCAGGCTGTACAGTGTTCCTGTTTGGAAGGGATTAGTCCCACATGTTGTTGTGAATTGGATTTACAGTCGCACACGTCATTCTATATAATCCATAAAAATACATCCCATATTGGAAATGCTTTAGCTTTGCTGGCAAAAGCTAAGTTTTTTTCACTTCACTAAAAAGGATTGGGGTTAAGGTTTTTTGAAAGATTAAGACAAAATGAGCATTAAATATTGCTGTCGAGCCATCAATTTTATCCATCTATTCACCGCTTGACAAATGCGGGCAGAATTTTGCAGTGCTGTGTTATACAATCACTCTTACTAGCGTGTGTGTGTGTGTGTGTGTGTGTGTGTGTGTGTGTGTGTATTCTTGATTTGGGTGTTTGACAGTGGTTGTTTGCATTTAAAATGAGTTGTAAATCTAGTTCGTCAAGTAAATTGTAGCACACCCTAGTTAACTTTAATCAAAGAAAACATAATTTCTCAACAACAAAATTGAAAACAGCTAGCCACCTTGGCTGGTGAGCAAAAAAGCTAATGTCAAGACCTGCATCCATTCATTCCTTTAACTCAGCTCTCCAACCTGCAGTCCCCTGAAGGTGTGGTCCTGCACTCGAGTGATCTGGTTCCCGGCGAGGTACAGGATCCGGAGGTGCTCCAGACCCCGAAACATGTCCGCGGTGACCAGGTGGATGAGGTTGCCATTGAGGGCCAGCTCCAGCAGCTGCCCCTGGCTGAGAAACGCCCCGGGCTCCAGGGCTGAGATGCTGTTATTCTGAAGGTAGAGGTAATGGAGGCTGCCAAGGCGAGTCAAGTCCAGATGACGGATCTGCACTACAGCGTTGTCCTGGAGGAAGATGGTCTGTAGTGGAGAGACAAATCAAATTAGCAAAGTGATCGCAAATTGATTACATTATTTTGTACAAGGAAGAGAGCGTGGCGTGTTGCCGTGCTGTGCTCACTGAGTAGAAACATGTATTAACCATGAGGAGAGATTGCATTAACAACGGGGCCACCGTTAGAGCATTCCGCACTCACCGGGCTGTGCAGAGCTTTGGAGATATGTTAATGTGGGCAATACAAACAATGTGGAATGAGCCAGTTCAGGATGGTAATAATAAGAACTGTGACGATGAGGGTCGTGCTGCACTTTTCCTCTTATTTTGCAGTTGAGTTATTTTTGCCAAATGCTGCAGAAATCACAGATCTTGTCAGCTAACGAAAACCGTTTGAGTGACTGGCGCTTCACGGGGGGGGTGCGCTCGACCTCCCCATGCATGGCTGTCGGCTTGACTGCTAAATGCGCTTGCATTGGTGGTGCTTTCGAAGAAGCAAGCACGGGCCATGAGGTGAAGTATGATCGACGAGACGGACCCGCTGATTGAGGTTAATGGAACAATTAATGCGGAGCATGCCTTTCATTAATATTCATGAGCTTCAGTCATGGGGGTGGGGGGGGGCATGAACCCAAGAGGAAAAGACGTTGTAATGTTAAACATCTTCTCAACAGATGATCAGAGGGTGTGCCAGAGTCACTTTCTGAGCAAGAATGAATAATTACACAGACAACAGCGCGACTCCTCCCTCGGGCTTACATCAAAGAGGGTCACAGCGAATTGATTAACCACAATCATTGCAGGGTAATAAGAATGGATGAGAGACAGGAAGTCAGCTGGTACAAAAAACGCTGATGCTGGGAGGGGGCGAGGGTCGATAGCAATGCACAGCTAGCGCCCCCGGACTTGTTGCCGATTGTGCCGACTGACCTCGGTAACAGAAGGGACGCCCTGCGGGATTTCTTTGACCCCAAGAGATCCGCACTCCACTGTGAGGCTGTAGCAGCGGCAGTCGGAGGGGCATCCCGCAGACGGTCGAGGGATGAGGGCCGCGAAGACTAGGACGAGCCTGGAGAGCCGCAAGAGGACCATGGCGGTTCTTTAACAGTGGACCTTCAGACCCCAAAACCTGGGAAGAGAAAGCGAGAGAGGGGAGAGACGAATGTATAAGCATCAATCGCTCTGCTGAAGTTACAACAACAAAACCGTTTTCTTTTCTTTTTTCACGGTAATGTATTTCATCCTCTTCACCCGCTGCAGATACGATGTATATGCAGATAGTTATGAAATGACAAGGGAGGATCGATTTAAAGAGTAAAAAAAACAAAAACTGGAACACAAGAGTATTATCCGGGCCTGCTTTTCATTCAACTGTCTATTCAGTGGAATTGCAGCAGCTTCTATTGTGAGCTTCAATTAATTAAAGATGTGATAAAAAAGATGCGCAGGTTGCCTCAAGGACCTCTCTGTTGTCTTGTTAATGTGTGTACAAACCGGCCCCTTCTATTTCTGTCGCTTTCTTTGTCTTACAAAGACAATGTGCAGTAAAGAGACGGAGGCTCCGTTTTGACCCCCCCCCCCCCAATCTCAGAAAGCACATTTACTTTCTCAAAAGCAAACCCCAAGTGGCAACCAGCTCTAATCATCTGATCAAAAAACACCAGCTTTGGCTGTTTGCTGCACCTTACGGCAATATCTTCCTTTGATACAGAACCCATCACTGAGCAACACCGCACACTTTTTATTTTTTATTTATTTTTTACTATTTCTATAGGCTACAGCCTGGAAGGGATTTTTGTTGTTACGCTTCACAGTTCACGGCGGACAGCCAATATCATGCAGCCCAGCAGCATTCACAGTAGTTCATCGGCAGCAGATTGCATCAAGATACTGCAGGGTCGGATGGAGATAAAAATACATGTTGAAATGTCACACTGAGCCTTGTCATTCTGCTCCAGTGACAGCAGGTAGATTCATTCGCTCAGTCACCCGCCTCCTTCTGGAGAATCTTCATCCAGTGGAGAAGCAGACGACTCATTGATCCAATCTAAAGTCTCACGTTGTTATAAAACATTCATGTGCACCCCGGTAGTGATTCCATAAACCCGTCTGACAAAAAAAATCTAGTTTGCTTAAGATTGCAGAGTCACCCAGACAGATAATTGATAGCATTTACATCTTGCTTGGAATGATTTTGGAGAACGTCTAGTTTATTAATTATTAGAATGCACACAGATCTCATTACAGATGAGTGATGAAAGGGCCCTGTGCCTGAAATACACTGTGACTGATAAATATTCAGCTTGTAGGCTGTTTGAACTGCTCCGTCAGATTGATATCAAACGTGTCTCATTTGCGGCGTTCTAATCCCGAACCAGTAATTTACTGCCTAAGTGCAAAAGAACCAGGCTCAGTACTACAGTGGCTGACAAGTCATCCTTGGTGCCGCCACACTGCATTATTAAGCAAACGAGCAAAGAACTGGATTTTAATATTGCATGTTTGAGCGCATTTACGAGGATAGCCAGCCAGTTTAATACAATGTGACCTACATAAACTGTTCAATCTTCTTCTCTCAGCAAAAAGAAAAAACTGACACTTATTAACAAAAGCATGCAATTTCCTCTCCGGAGCTCTCCAAACAAGCGTGGAGAGAAATTATGTACTTCTATTGTAGGGAGGAGAAAGGCCAAAAAATAGAATTTTGAATCAGGCCTTGATCTGTCATTGAGCTTTTGTTACTTCTCACAGTGGGATGACTTGTAAATAGCTTTGAATCACTTGAAAAGTGTCAGAAGGGAAGCAAAGAGGAAGACACCCTGCCCTCGGCTAAGAATACACACGGAACAGGATGTGCAGTCTGATATGTGTTGTTCGAATATGAGCCCGAGATCAATGCAAATGAAGCCCTGCCAGGTGGAGAAAGCAGCTTGTGCACGTCTCCGCTCATTTAAGTGTTGCTCTGTCTTTGAAAACCCTGAGCGGCAATCGGGTCACGCATCCAGTGTTAGGACGAGGCTGATGAGACGTATAGAGACAAGAATCAATGGAGTCATCAGGGTCTGCAAACAGGAAGGAGGCGAGGACGAAAATAAAACATCCGGGGAAGAGGGATTCTTTGAATAATGCTGCTGACTGCAACTTGTCTCCCAGTGTATGCTCGACTATTTCATATTCAGTCTCGAACTCTCATCTTTTGTCATGCTGATGTGGGATTTCAGTGGGAAGAGGTCAATTTGTTCATTTCGGTCTCGGTAATCCTCTGCGGAACACGCGTAATCTGCACAATCAGATGCTCGTTAGCTAAGCCGCTCTCGGCACTGTCGACGTTTTCATAGAGGGGGCTGCTTTGTTCGGAGTTAAAAAAATGAGGTCAGCAAAATATCCCTATTGACTGTAAAGATGTGCAAATAGGATGATTAGAGCGTAATGTTGTATGCATAGATCTGACTGGCTTGCAGGACCTGCCAGGGCAGATGCCAGTCAACAAATGGCAAAAAAATAAAAAAAAGACATCTAATAAAATGCACGTCACACAAACCCTGCTCGGCATTGTGGTATCAGCGTTTACCTCCAAACATGCAACCACCCACTGTGGCTCTGCAAACATTATTTTGTTCTAGACTCCGAAGCAACTTGTTTGTTTGTCTCGGGCATTTCTGAAATGACAATTGTCTCTTTCTTCTTGACACAGCGCTTTGTTTTCACGCCGCCAAACAAATCATTCCTCTTCGGAACAATCACGGGTCTGGCTGAGCCGAACATTGGCAGCACAACAAGATTCACCGCATAGCTGCTGCTCTGATTTTCTCTTTTAATTCTTTTTCCCAAGGAGGCTGGGTGTTGATGTGTCAGAGGTGCAGCAGCCAGTCAGAGTGCTGGAGGGCAGAAGCAAAGTTCACCTCCCCACGCTGCCACCGATGGCCTCATCCCGTTGTTATGGTAACTCTTGTGATGAGGGAAGGTTTGCTCGCGGGGGCCCAGTTCCTGTGAGCTGATGTTAGGCAAACAACTCCACAAAAATAGAAGCTGTCATCTCCCGGGGTAAATTGCTCGCAAGAACTTGAGCTATGAGATGACCCGGAGCTAAATTGTAAATTCTCTTTTTCTACCACGTGAACTTTTTTCCTCTCCTTTCCCCTCTCTCCTTCCCCTCGTGGTGTCTCTGAAAAAGCCTCCACCATTTTTCCCCACTCCGCCGCCTCTGACCTCTTTCTCTTTCTCATCTCTTGTCCTTCTGCACTGACTGACAGGTGCTAAATCATTTGTCTCAGAGCATCCTTTTGTCCACAAATAGACCGAGGCCAAGGCACGTCGAGAACACTGTGGCACTAAACCAAGAGTAACACACTGACTTTGAGCGATAGTCTCCACCGTGCACGTGAAAACACGCTCTCACACGCTCATAAACATGCAAAGCACATCTACGAAGCATTGTACACTAGCCACCTACATTCAGGGACACACACATGCTCATGCACTCGCGGTTCCTGCCCACGACCGGCAGCAGCCATCATCATTCACAGACACAGACCCAGGCTGATACAAACTGGCAGCCATATACGCACTCTCACAAACACTCGCTCATATTATTTGTGTCAGCAAAGCTGAAGCTCTGCTCAGTTAATAAGCCTGCATTGATTTCTTTATTTTGCCACTACTGCTCTGTCTAGCTGGGCTCTGCAGCCATTGATTTTTTTACCACGAAAGCAGATGTTGGCGGGGTGGGGGGGATTTGGGATTGCATTTGTGAATGTCTGTGTTGAAGAGAAACACAAAGTAAATGAGTGCATGTGTATTGCTTGATTGTGTGTGTGTGTGTGTGTGTGTGTGTGTGTGTGTGTGTGTGCGTGTGTGTGTGTGTGTGTGTGTGTGTGCGTGTGTGTGTGTGTTGGGGGTGTGCGTGTCTCACTGTCAGGCTACCTCAAGCAGAATCTCTGAGCAGCAGTAGCAGCAGCAGCAGCCACTTCTCCCAGCGGAGCCTAAAAACCCTCACTCCATGTCTCTGTGCGCAGACAAACTCGATAAATCTTTGCTTTTTAAGAGTTCACATGATAAACTGCTGTGAGAGTCTGCAATCTAGAGACTGTTGTTGGTGATGTAAGCTGGCCAGCAGGAAAAAAAAGCTCAAAGGTTATCGATGTAAACTGCGCAGAGGTTCAAAGCGACCCAGAAAAACAGATTTTGTCAGGGCCAATATGATGCTTTACAGGCAATAACTATGGTAACAGTCACACTTGTTACTCCATGCACCGTGAATAGCAACGCTGTTACTCCGACCACAAGTGAATCATTTAGAGCCAATAACTCATATTGTCTATCAAGCTTCAACACATTTTTGTGTTGGAACTCCTGCAGTCCAATTTGATTTGCGACTGATAATTGCGAAGTAAAAGCACAATAGCAACTTTATGACCACATAATCAATATCCATTTTCCACACAAGATTAACTTCTATGCACTCACTGTCCGGGGGGGTTATTGTAAAGTCACGTCATCATTGCTCAGAGCTTAACGAGAGACTGTAAACCTCTTTTAACCTTGTGATTTTCTTTTTTTTGTTATTCTGGGCTTTCTTCCCTCTAAAATCCAGTTCTTTCTCTGCATGACCAAACACAGACTCAACATGTTGAGAATCATTGGCAAACTAGTCTCTCGTCTAGGTATGAGAACATCAAATCAAGATATTTTTCTGTGCATCATACTTCCGTTGTTCTGTCATACATTTTTTAACACAGCTTTTGCAACGCCCTCTGTTATATTAAACATTGTGAAACGGTCCTGCGGTGGCAGTTTTAAGCATGACCGTCCTATTTAGCGTTGCGAAGTAGTCACAGTCTTAAACACGTGGTTGAATTAAAAACTTCTTGTTTCGGAGAAGATCATGGTTTATTTAACCTATGTACTTAAAATAAGTTACATACATAGGTTACATACATAACTATTTTTCAAGGATTTTTGAATGGATGCTAATTTTAAATATATATTTTAAAGATCTCACGTACCCCCTGGAGTGCCTTCACGTACCCCCAGGGAACAGGTACCCCCATTTGAGAACCACTGACTTAGAGCAACGACTCTGTCCAAAGGCACTTACTACTCTATATACTTTACATTACCTAGTAAGTTAAGTATCCCACAATGCATCATGAAAAATAATGGAAAACAATGGTCACTAACCAAACACTATATACCATCATGCATTGCGCTGCAGGAAAAATGTCAGACGGATGACAGTAGAATGAGAAGCGCTAAAGAGACACAATATACGAAAACAATATATTTAATGTGAGCAAATCAGTGCATCGCAACACAAACAGCCACAAAGTACTTTGCATTTATTGATTTGGGAAAATAAGCTTATTTCCTTCACATTCACAACGGCGGTGCATATACCGCTTTACTCCTTCCATCTTTTCCTTTCACAAAAGCCTTAGACACACAGTAGACGCTTCAGCACTGCTTACCAAGGGGGACGTAAATCCACTCAGAGAGTTTCGCTAACAGGCAACTCTACAAAAGAGCTTCCAATATGTATTCATCACAAAAATGCATGTTGGTATTTATCATGAATGTTCCACGAGGTTAAGTTCAGTGACTTGAATTAGTTGAGGGGACACCTAGCAGACAGCTAAATGCTGTGACGGCACCCACCTGTCATTCAGAGTGGCCACACCTTTTGTTATGAATCATTTTAAGCCATTATATCATTTAAACGGTGTATAAAATACTCCCGTAGAGTTTTCCTTGGCACAGATATTAGCTATGGACATTTATCTGTAAAATAAAAAAGTGTAAAGATGTCAAGTCGTCAACTTTTAGGTGCATTTAATTACCTTTGGACAGAGCAAGGCTACCTGTTTGCCCCCGTTTCCAGTCTTTATGCTAAGCTAAGCTAACCGGCTGCTATCTCTAGCTTCACATTTACTGTACAGATATGAAAGCAGGATCGTTGGCAAGAAACCAAAATAAGCACATTTCCCAAAATGTCAAACTATCCCTTCAAAGTGATACTTGTGATTTATACAGTTTTTTTGAAAACCAATAAAAGTGAATGAGTCATCAACCATGGTCTGTGTTTGTGCGTCATTGTCACTCGTTGTATTCAGGCATTTAGTAAGCAATTTCCTGTCACCTTTTGAAAAATACTCTAGCTGTCAACATTTCCTGCCTTTCACATTTCAAATATATCTCAGTGTCAACATCACCTGTCTGACACTTGCTCCCGTGTTTTCTCACGATTTCTTGCGTCTCCCCTTTTCAAATGCCAATTTTCTGCAGTCTCTCTCTCTCTCTCTCTCTCTCTCTCTCTCTCTCTGTCTCTCTCTCTGTCTCTCTCGCACGTGCACACTGTCCATTCTAATTGTCCAGGTCGGTTGATGCAATCGAACAGAGCAATTTCACTCTCAGTAGCTTCATCTGTCACACTTTAATTTACAAGTCAGCGGATTATGCCAGAGCGGAATAAACGGTTTGATTTCTACATTTCTTAAGCTCCATTCTCATCAACCTGTTTTTGCGCCCACTTCTGTTCGCCCACTCTTCTATGTGAGTGTGCAGTAATGAAAGGAAGGGAAAGTGGACACAAACACTCGCCAATCAGATTGGACTGTTGCTCAGTGGTTTCACATTGTGATGGATGGATGAGATCAGACAGGTTGGAAGATGGATGAAGGGGAGTCACATCGTCCTCTACTGAGAAGCAGAACAATCCCTTCCATTTCAATCCTATACCCCATTTTGATAGAAGTGTTTGCATTCATGATTTTTTTGGCTTTCTTTTAAGCCGTTGCATTATTGTTTTTCCCCCTTCAATGTTCCAGATGGGTGAATCTGATTATAAATATTACTTATTTTTATGGCAGTTGAGTCGCAGGTATTACTCAAGCAGCAATAAAACCGGGCGCACAGTCGGTTTGTCCAAAATTGAATGAATGCTTTGCAACGCTTCGATAACAATTGCTTATCATCCCGCTTTATTGAATTTCAGTAATATTGCCTGTGCAGTAGTGTTTGCAGAGGGAGTGATTGCATCCTTATAAATTGTGTTTCTTTGTTGCACTGAAAGTGACAGCATCCGCTGACTGCGAGTGATGGACGTCCGACGTATGTCAAATAACACTCTGGCATGTAGCCTATATTGTGTTTATCTGTGACGTCTGGCATACAGAGGGGAAATAATGAAACTGTAAAAGTAATCAGTTTTTTTTTGCTCATGCATTTCGTATTTCAGCTGATCTTTGCCATCTGCCCGTGTCGTTCTCAACTCAGGCCAAAACTGGAGGTGCAATACAATTACAGCCAAGAGAGATTTCAGTTATCATTGTCTGGCAGACAGCAGCCGATGAAAAATTAAAGCTCTCTGCAGGCGTAAGAAGTCAACTTGTCTGTACAGATCTTTCCACATGAGACAGACACCCCACCCTCGGAGTTACACAAACGAGGTCCTATCTAGGGGCCCGCTGTTTGGCTCCACGCCGCTTCGTGTGCAGAATAGCAATTAAGCAGAGGGACGTGCATTAACACTCTGACATTAGGGAAGAAACCACTTAGAAGACAAAATCAGAAAACATGACGGTCTTACAGTACGGACAGATCTGTACCAGGAATCTGGTAGTGACCTAACACTATATTCTTCCTGGCGTCTCCCATAGTGCCCCTGTAATATTCCTGCCAGATTCCTAGAGGGTGTGTGCTGTGCTCAGCACTGATCTTATTATGCTTCATTTTGTCCCATCACAACAGTATCACTTTCATATTCCCATGTGATGTGAATACACAGTGGCTCTGCAGTGAAATTGCTCATACTTTGTCTCTAAATTGCATTCTAAGATCAAGACAGCTGTTTTATTGCTGTAGTACTGCGGCATGATGGGAGAAACAATAGCAAATCTTAACTAGCAGATCACTCTGCTGCTGTAAAACGTTTGATAGGAAATGTATTTTTTACCTTTTGAATTGTGTATTTAGAAGAGAAACAGCAAGACCAATTAACAAAAACACATCAGCATGCGTAGTAAGTTTGCATTATGGGATATAGTACCAGTTCATTAGGTACACCTCGCCAAAACGGATGCAGCCGAAAACAACAGCCCTGCAATGAATCAGACAATCAAGATGGTTGTAATGTTCGTTTTTTTGTTTTTGTTTCAAGGTTTTGATTCAGCTTGATGCTGATGCTTGATTGTTGAATTGTATACTGTTACATATATACAAAGACTACACTCAAGTGCCCACTTTATTCAGTACACCTGTGCAGTCTGATGCAATCGAATACTGTTCTGCCATGAAGTCTACTTTTCGGATGCTCTTTAATGCTCAGTTTATGTTGACGCTGTCATAAAGGTGGTAACCCAATTACATGTTTAGCATTGAAGTTTGTTGGTGTTTTACTGGACTACTCTGAATATAATTTATAATATAATATCAGAAGAGGTGTTTTAAATATTCTGCCCCCCTCCTTTCTATGTAAATGTAAATTATACATAATTACAAAACATCTCTCAATATAGTCCAGTACACCATCTTCTACTACAACCTCAATAATTAACATACGATAATTGGATTTACACATTTCCGATTATCTCTCGCAAAACTAAACATTATGAGCTTCATAATGATAGATGTTATTGCAGGGCTGTTGTATTGGACTGCATGAGATTGTAGACTATTAGCTAAAAGAAAGGAATAACAACATGAAGGGAGTTTACTGAGGATAGTCTGCAGCAGTGATCCTTAATTTAGGGTCTGTAGTTTCAGCTGTTGTTCTGTTGTTTTGCATTATACTGAGAGGTGTTTCTAATATTTTGTTCACCCCATTCATCACAAGGGTAGACTGAATTTTGGACCTTTATCGAATATCTATGCAGTCTATTTAGGATATACTTTACTTTAACACATATTAACATGACATAATAAGGGAATCTGCTACTGGGGCAATTTGGGGTTTGGGTGCCTTCAGGGTTAAATAATGACGTTTCATCACACTTCTCAACATGACATAATCCTATAAGAAACACATAAGAATTCAGATCTTTTGCTCCACTCTCATGCTATAATCTCCCAAAGTGCATTGTAGACAGTTCTATAATTCAATAGACAGAAACAAAAAACTATATCACTTCATGAGATTAAACTGTATCAAACGCGAGCCTGTGATCCTAAATTATGTCTACGTAACTGAAAAAAACAACATTTTAAAAACCCTTCTGTGTTACTATCCCAAGCGCACACCGTCCCCATTTCCCAAACAGACAACTGCGACCTACCGTTTCCCCTGCCTGCGTGGACTTGATCTTGGGAGCAGTCTACCTACTTTGACAAAAAAAAGAAGAAAAAAGAAAAAAAAAGAAACCAACAAGAAGAAAAGATGAATTCCACTTCAAATCACTGCAGATAAAGCAGCCAGCGCATTGTTTGCCTCCCTCCGACTGGGCAGCGGTTTAGAGTCCGCACAGCCTGAGCCCGTCCATTGTAATTGGATGCTGAGAGCCGGTGGAAACCACTCGCATATCTGCCAACGCTGGACGTCAGCGCTGATGGTGGTCGATTTAGACTCTTTATCGCCCTCCTCTGATATTGTTGTGCGGCTTTGATACGTCCCCCCCCCCTTTTTTGTCTTTCCTGCGCTCTCCCCCAACGCGTATGTTTCCAACAGTGACCCACTCCTCTAATTATCCCTGCTTGACTTGACTCCCTCCCCCTCTCTCTTTCTCTCGGTGCACGAGTAAGAGAGTAAGAGAGAGAGAGAGAGAGAGAGAGAGAGAGAGAGAGAGAGAGAGGGGGGGGGGGGGGGGGGGGGGGGGGGGGGGGGGTATTCTCGGTCATTCACTTTCAAAACAGAAATTGGGTGGCTGCCTGGCACCGATTGTTGCATTCAACTTTAAGTGTAATTTCCGGCGCTGTAGAAACCATGATAAAAGAGCGACTCTCTGCTCTGCAGATAAGCAGAGGGATTTCAGCACCACGGACAGCGGCCCCGTCTTTTATTATGAAAGGTTTACGGACGTGAAAAAGCGCATCCGCTGACAGAGTGACGCCTGTCGTGATATTCCCTGCAGTGGCAGGCACAACACACAAGCGTGAAAAAGCACGGCGGGACCGAGTTCAAAAAGTGCCACTTCTGTCTCGCCAAGGGCAAGTGATTTCAAGCCGAACCGCGTGGCCCTTCAATATCCTGCAAAACCATATTGCTCAGTCATAGCAGGCAGCGGCAGTGCATTACTGGCCGTGGGGGAGAGGATGAATATATGAGCAGAAGTTATTCTATTTTACAGCGATTTCAGGGACCCTGTTGCTGATTGTTCAGCTGCAGCATTTGTAAAATCGAAATGCTACCTTGAAACAGACTTTTAGGAACCCCATCCCTATATGTTGTCTAGAAATGTAGCTATATCAAATAAGTTAATTTTAGCTACATAATTAGCTGTAAAAAGTTGGCAAAATCTGATGGTTAAACAGTTGAAAGAGTTATAAGAGAGTTTTCTACTGTGTAGAAAACTCTCTAAGCAGTAGGATGACCTTACCGTTTACCCATTAATGGTATTGATTTCAACTATTTACTATCTATTAGGCCTTTTAGCTATCTACTCCAACCATTTATCCACTACTTTAGCTATAGCTAATTCAACTATGTATCCTCTAATTTTAGCTTATTATATATTATTATTATTCCCTTCTCAGCAGCAGGACTAGCTCTCCAAGCTGCACGTGGCTAACTCCACCTGCAAGTGGATCACAGACTTCCTGTCTGACAGGATGCAGCACGTGAAGCTGGGAAAACATGTCTCAGCCTCCCGGAACATCAGCAATTGTTCCCCCCAAGGCTGCGTTCTTTCCCCTCTGTTCTTCTCCCTGTACACCAACAGCTGCACCTCCAGTCACCAGTCCGTCAAGCTCCTGAAGTTTGCGGATGACACCTGGTGGGGATGAGTCCGCCTACAGGTGGGAGATCGACCATCTGGTGACCTGGTGCAGTCTGAACAACTTAGAGCTCAACACTCTAAAGACTAGAGATGGTTGTAGATTTCCACAAGAACGCAGCCCCACCTGCCCCTATCACTCTGTGTGACTCCCTTGTGAACTCGGTGGAGTCTTTCCACTCCCTGGGCTCCACCATAACCCAGGACAGCAAGTGGGAGCTGAACATCAGCCCCATCACCAAGAAGGCTCAGCAGACGATGTACTTCCTGAGGCAGCTGAAGAAGGTCTCGTATCATTCGCTCCGCTGAGAGGGTGATTGGCTGCAATCTGCCGTCCCTCTCTTGTTCGCCTCCAGGACCCTGAAGCGGGGAAGAAAGATTGTAGCCAACCCCTCTCACCCTGGACATAAACTGTTCAAGTCCCTTCCCTCAGGCAGGAGGCTCCGGTCCATCAGGACCAAGAACTCACGCCACAAAAACAGTTTCTTCCCTTCTGCAGTTGGGTTCATCAATAAAGACTAGGACCCCCACTGACTCAGACATTTACATCTTACTGTTACACACTCTTGCACATCTGATTCTGATTATCTGTAAAAATAAAAAGTAGGCTAAACTGAGGGATAAATAGTTGAAAGAGTTAGCTAAAAGACAGTTTTCAACTTTGTAGTCCTTCCTGTATTTTAGCTACTTGCTAACTCTAAGCAGTTGGCCAACCTTACTGTTTACCCATTAACGGTATCGATTTCAACTATTTTTCCATTAGGCCATTTAGCTATCTACTCCGACTATTTATCCATCACTTTCGCCATTTATCCATATCTTATGATAGCTATTTCAATTATTTATCCTCTTATTTTAGCTATATTATCAGCTGTAAAAAGTAGGCTAAAACTGAAGAAAAATTGTTGAAAGAGTTAGCTAAAAGACAGCTTTCAACTGTGTAGGACTACCTGTATTTTAGCTAACTGCTAACAGTAGGCTAACCTTACTGTTTACCCGTTAACGGTATCGTTTTTTATTTAGCCATTTTAGCCTTTTAGCTTTCTACCACAACCATTTATCCATCACTTTAGCCATTTGTCGTTACGCGCACACGCCTCTGCGCGTGCGTGGCCCCTCTGATGATGACTTGATCACAGACTAATCTCACTCATAGTGCTTAAAGCCGCGCTGACCCAGATTTAGCATCACTTGATTAACGCCTGTGTGTGTGTGCCGATGCGCAGCTGTGTGTGTGACGCTTCCCATGCCTGAGCAGGTACATTAGTTTGTGTCTAATTGCGTGTCTTTGTGATGCTGAGAGCGCTGCAGTGTGGTGTGTGTGTGTGTGTGTGTGTGTGTGTGTGGATTTTAATGATCTCCTCCTACCCCCTCTGGGCCAGCATGAGCCTATTTCGACCCACATCAGGATAATTAACATCACACTCAAATGCCTGTAAGAGCAGAGGGCTCCTTTCACCATCTTTCGTCTCAATCCTGCTGTTCTTAATTCTCCCTTTGTGGCTCACAGGAATAGCACCCAATGTTGAAATACAACCTGCGGGCTATTTGTATGCATGCAAAGTCCCATCCAGTTTATTTGCACATAAATTGGTCCATAAACTTAACTAACAAGTTGTGTTTTCCAGCCATGAAAAACAAAAACACCTCATTAAACAGCCCTAGAGTTAGACACTTGGGCTTAGTTTATCACGGTTGCCAGTTTGAATCCCCAGATCTGCAGGGAAATCCGCACCACACAGTCCAACTGTCTACGTGTACTTGAACAAGTCACAGTTCCATTAGCGCTGATCTGTGGCCAACCTTAGAAGACTGGGGCTCTCTGGGCTGTATCCAGGTGTGTGTGTGTGTGTGTGTGTGTGTGTGTGTGTGTGTGTGTGTGTGCGTGTGTGTGTGTGTGTGTGTGTTTGAGTAAGAAAACAAAACTTGCAACTTCTCCCATGGGGATTGGCTGTAATTAGGAATGTTCTCTTTCTCGACTTGCCTTGTAAATGAAAACACCTCTATATCAAAGAGGGAACACATTGGATGCAGCCCTGCTATGGAGGATTTGTCCACCTCCAACATTAAAATGATGAAATACTCCAATCAGTCATAAGTCATTTATAAGCCTTTAGTTCACCTGTAGTTCACACTACAAATGGGCCACATTCAATGACTAGGGGAGACCTTTAGAAGAGGTTTAAAAATATCAAGTTGTATTATGGCAGATATATAGCTGAATTGTTGAAGTGATGAAGTAAGTTTATGCTGTTATGTGTTGTCTTTCATTAATTACTGTGAAGTTAGCCAGGTTTCGTAACTGTTTACATTTTGCCTGGTAATTTAAGGGTCTACCAAAAGCTTTGCACTCGACAATGATACATTTAATCTACAAATGAAATGTTAGCACATTTACATGTGATGAATAGTGTACACTTCAAATAAGGGGGATGCAGAAATGTTTTTCGGGATTCAGTAATGCATTTTTAGACTTTGTTTGTGCTGAATAGTTTACACTTTAGATTAAAGGCTGCAAAAACCTCAAATGTGTTAGTACACATCAATAGAAATGATCAAGTAATGGTGATAATGTGTGCATCTTTGTAAATGTTTTAAAGTATGCCACGCCCCTCTCTACCCATTGAATAGCATAAATCTCTTGTAAAATGATCTTCCTTAGTCATTACATATGGCCCATTTGTACAAACATGTAAAATGTTTTGTTGAGGATCTGTTCATTGTTAACTAGCTTATAGTGAGCTGTGACTGATTGTAAGTGTTATCCGATAGATCTTGGTTTCCATGCGGTTCCTTTATTTACCAGGTAGATCAAGTATACAAGAATACATTTTTCTTGAATAACAGCATGTGGAAGAAACTTGAATCAAGACACAAAGTGACACAGGCTCCTTGTCATTGTAAGGAATATAATTGTGACTGAATCATCCATCTCTCCGTGACAAAAAAAATTCACTGGTTTCAGCTTTTTTCAAACTGACAGGCGAAGATAAACTTTGATGACTTGATTCCTAGACAGACGGAGATGAAGCGATATAGACTAAATCGAAGTACCAACCGGGCACTATAATTCCCATTTACATACTTTATGGAGCAATATGAACACAATTTCCATACAAATGTGGAAGAAAAAAAACACGGTGAGGAAATCGTCTTTTTTGTTTGCGATGTGGTCGACACGGGTAAGAATCAATGACATGCACAGACAGATGCTGGGGAGATAACAGTGATTTAAAGCGGACCTACACACACACACACACACGTACTGTATGTACTGTATCACCCAATGAAAAGCATGCAGGACATGAAAGCTTTACAAATGGCCGCCAAAACAACAGCTGTAATGCGACAGGCACACATTTGTTCCACTAATCACTGAGGGGATTGTCAAATGGAGGCTAAGAGAGTCTTATGTTATTAGGCCCTGCTACTGTGACTTCACAACAGACACACACACACACACACACACACACACACACACACACACACACACACACACACACTGTGGATGAGTCTGATGTCCATCATCCCTTGCCTTGGCCCTCACACGTTGACAGCTGTCAGTGATTTTGACATGCCAGATCACAGAATAAAGGGATTACACTGATCTGTGGAGAGAAGGCACGTTCCCGGCACATATTTCCGAGGGTGTTCACATCAAGTAAACAACGGTGGGTTACACAACAACACTCGCAGATTAGGTTTATTCAGATGACAAATGTACACTTTTTGATTAAATATAGTGGTGTGTAACTATGCAGATAAATTAGG